TTTGAAGAGATTTGAGCTTCTTTCCTTAGTTTTTCCTCTCCATCTTGCTTTTTTTACACTTGTTCCATTTTGTGCTGATGTGTGTGTGTGTATATTCTTATGGAATTTCTGAGTATGTGTGGCTAAATGCTTTGATTCTAGGATTATTTTGAACTCTTGTATGGATTAAGTACTCATTTTCCTTTTATATTTGTGATTAGTGATATGATTATGTTGATTTTACTCTATGTTTAATGCTTCTTGTTGATTGGCCACCAATAAGATTATTGGGTTCACTTGATTGATGCTTGAGAGGGTTAGGTTGAGTGTATTATGTGAGAACTTGAAGCTTGCGAGTTGAATAGATGATTTTGTTAATAAGATAGAGATATACTCATTAACCTCACATAATCATATAAGGTTTGCAATGAAAATTGGGGTTCAATTAATTAATTAAGAGGTTAAGGAATTAATTGAGCTAAACACCTATTTGGAGACTTGAGAGAGCATTTATAGATAATTTAGTGTCATTGGCTAGCATAATCTATAATTAAGAAGCAAATACAATGGGGATTTAATTGAGTGCTTTTGAAATATAAGAGGGATAAATAATCTTATGTTTTTTTGAATCATTGGAATTGAAGAATCACTTTTCTTTTTATTCATTTTTAATTTTATAAATAGTTGCTTTCACTCTTAATATTTGTATCGATCAAATTAAGTGAAAGTGTGATAATCAATACTTAACCGAGTTTTAAGACCAAATCCTCACGGGAACGATACTCTACTCATCACTTTCTTACTTGTGACGACCCGTGCACTTGAGGTGCAAACAGTGGCCAATGAGAAAACATGGTCGGGGTGACTGTCGCTAGCAAGACACATGGCGGGTAGGGGTTAAATGGAAAAAAGGATTTTTTTAAAAACAAAAAACAAAAAACACAAAAGCAAAATCAAGAAAATAAGTTATAGTTGTTTTGATTTTTTAGTTTTTAAGAACATATTACTTGTTTTTATTTTGTAAAACATCTAACTAAAAATAAATAACTAAATAAGTTTTTAATAATTTTTTATCTTTAAAAACAAAAAAAATTAAAAAAAAAAAAAAGGAAAACAAACAAGATCTGACTTTCTATTAAAACTTTGATTATTCCTCCATTGACTTAGTGGACCACTTTTTGAAGAGTTATATGCAGTGAGTATTTGGAGGAGTAAAATAGTTTGAAGGGATGCAATTTTAGACTAACTGGAGCATGACATGAAAACCATCTTATATCTGTTCAATTATGGCGAGAGAGCATAACTTGAAATATGACAAGTTGTATTGCTCATAAATTTTAAATGTTTAGACATATTTTTCAGACGTTATAATGCATAATTTATATAGAGTGCTGTATTGACATTATACATTGATGGAGATAAAAATGGATAATTAAAGATTCTATAAGATTTGATGAGACTTGATTGGATACTTGAAGATTCTATAACTAGGGATATTTGACAATTATTGAGTAATAATTTATTTTGATTTTGATTTGATTTGATTATTATCTTTTATCATCAATTATTATTCTATATAGAAATGAAACAAAATAATTGAAGATTTTATAAGGTTTAAATATGACCATTAATGAGACAATATTGCAATAATTCATTTTTAATTTTAATTTGACTGTTATGTCTGATCATCAATGATCTTTTATCATATGAAATATATACTAACAGTGATAGGGTTGGGTCTAGACTATTCCCCCATGGTATCGTAAGTTTTTTTTTTTTTTTAAACCACACCATAACATCATAAGTTAAGGTTTTGAATTTTGTGGAGAGAAATGCGTATATTTAACACCCATTTTGACTCAAATAAGATTAACCCTAATAATTAAAAGATGCATATTTACCAGTTAAAACGTTTGTGTACAATTTATTCTTAAATCGCAGATTCCATTATTTTTATAAAATCAACAAAAACTTTTCAACGCACGTAATCTTCTTTATTTAACTTTTCCCACAGTTTACAACCAAAAAAAAAAAAATCTCTTCCCGCATACAAACCCTGCACTCCTCCATTACTCCGCCGTTCACTCGTCTTCCCCATAGCGCGAATTTGTAATTCCCACCAAAGCAGATGCCGAGCTACGGCGACAACCCCCCACTGCCCTCCGAGATTATTATCAACATTCTCAAAAGGCCTCCTGTCAAATCCATCGCTTGATTTCGCTCTGTCTGTAAAAATTGGAAAAATCTCTTCAAAACCCCACATTTCATCGCTGAACATGCCGGCCGCTCTTCTCACGAAAACCCTTTGCTTCTCCTCCATGAAGAAGATTTCGGTTCCAATGGTAAGCCTCCGTCCTTTTGCTTAATCATAATATGGAAACCATTGAAGTTCTAAGCATACCCTCGATCGATTGCCTTAACCATGGTTGGAAAATCATTGGTTCTTGCAACGGCCTTCTTTGTGCCCTAGTCGATCTTGATCCAGATGGGTCTCATTGCTCGCTTTGCCTGGGGAACCCAGTGATTAGAGAGTTCAGAGAAATACCCCTAACTACAACAACGAAGGATTATTGGGGCCTGTACGAATTTGGATTTGGATTCAGTAGCATTGTTAATGATTACAAGATAGTGAAATTTTATATCCGAAGGTTTGCAAAAAGGAAGAAGAAACGTCAACCATATAATTCCGTCCTAGTCGAGCATCATAGAGCGGAAGTGTATTCATTAAGAACAGGTTCACGGAAGAAACTAGAATTTGGGTCTTTACCGAAGACAACAATTATCTCCAAAAATGTCAGTGCTGATGGAAATGGAGCTAATCCTTTTCTTATTATTTACCTGTGGTCGTTTCCTTCGACATAGCTACTGAAGTGTTTACATTAACACAAATACCACGAAGTCGTGAACTTCCAACTGCTATTGGTGTGTACCAGAACAAATTAGCCATGTTTATCCATTGCGATGCATCGTTTAATTCTATCCTTATATGGGCGATGGAGGAGATTGCTGGTGAACCAGGGAAGAGTTTCAGTTTTACTGAAGAATTTAAGGCTCGGATAATTTCGTATTTTTTGCGTCGCTTATGTATTTGGAGCAATGAAATAGTTTTCGTTGACAAAGAGCGGTGGCATCTTGACGAAGACGAGGACGAGTGTTATGATGAATCAGTGTACTTTCTTAGGCTGCTCAATCTCACTACTAAGAAATGGAAGGAGTTCTAGAAGGTTTCATTTTCCTATGACTGGTGTGATGGTTTCAGTTATGAGAGGAGCCTTGGGTCTGTTTGGAACGCCCAGGTTGAATAGCATTGCTTTGAAATATGATCATTTCTGCATTTCATGTTTAATTTCTTTTGTCTCTAATTCACAAAAACCTTTGAAGATTATTTTGGTTGGATCTATATATAATTCTTGAAGCCCCTTTGATCTTTGATCTGGAGTAGCGAAGAAATTCAGTACTAGTTTGTTTCATGCTTTATTTTAGCCTTCTGTATATCATCACCCTATGTTCAATTTTCTTGGATAACATATAGTTTAATTAGTTGCTGGCTTGCTGCTATATAAGTTTGCTTGGTTTTGTTGGGTTGTGTTTTAGTGGGATTGCCTACCCATGAATGATTGTGAATCAATGGGAACAAAAAAAATGTATAATTAAATTATTGAAATGCTTTCAATATAAAAATAGTAAAAATGTACTACATGCTTCCTCCGATCTACAGTATAAGTCACTTCTAGAAGAATAACAGGTCCAAAATGTGTCACTTAATAAGGAGTAATTAATACTTATTTGTCAATTTTGTCCCCATAATTAACTCTTAAACGTGACTCTTTGTATTTTTCTTTTTTATTCGCAATCTCATGTAATATGGGTGAAGTTGAAAAAATTTTCAATTTGAAACATATTTAATTAATCAACTACTATTTTTTGATATTGACGAATTAGTTAAAATGAATTGTGCTATGGATCGGAGGAGTCCTTGCTGTGAGATTTTTTTTGGTGATTGATTGCTTTCATGGCACTACATATTAATTTTCCCTTAAAAAATTGCCTATGACCTGTTTCTTTAGTACTACCTCCTATTATAGTTATAAGACCTCGTTTGTATCTACAAATGAGATCTTATAGCTAGGACCAGAGTTAATAATATTTTTTCCGTCTTTTCATTGTCACTGAATTTATTTTGTTTTTATCCTTTTAGAGCTGTTGATTCTTTTCCCAACATAACCTCTTCGAAGTTGCAAACAACTTTTTTGCGCATTGAGTAAAATAGTCCAACATAGAAACCTTTTCAAGGTTATGAAACAAATTTACGATTTTTTTCCTTCTCATCTTTAAATGCATTCTAAAGACAATTTGATCTCTCACTTTCAACTATATAAAAGAAAATTATTTTCCCTCATTCATTCATTTGTTTCCCAACCACATTTCAAGCAATCCCAAACAATTTTGTGACCATCAAGTGCAAATAATGCCTTCTTCCCTCAAGCGACAAAATGAAATTGAAAGATGACAGGGCCATTTTTCAATAAACAACATGATAAATTATTAAATTAGATGAACAAAATTTCATAATGAAAAACTTTTCAAGGCTATGAAACGTAAGTCTTTTGACTTCTTTAGTCATTCTAAACTTTATTTGATCTCTCTCCTTTCGCCTATATAAGAGGTAATTCTTTTCCCTTGTTCTATATCATTCCTTTCTTACCATTTCAAACAAGGAAATGGAAGATGAGGGAGTCATTATTTTACCACAAGATCTCATAATAGAAATTCTCAAAAGGCTTCCTGTCAAATCCCTAATTCGATTTCAATCCGTTTGCAAACTTTGGAAAAATCTCATCAAATCCTCATCTTTCATCTCTACCCACTTACACTACTCAGCTCACAACAATCCTTCTCTTTTCTTCGAACAAACCCGTCTTGAACAACGCAATCCTACATTCTTATTTTCGCTTGATTCCAACATGAAAAATGTTGAAGTTCAGATTACACTCGAGACGCCCCCCTGGATCCATTCCATCATGGATTATAGTCTTATCAGACTTGTTGGTTCCTGCAACGGCTTGTTCATTGTGGAAATGGAATTTATTGGTGGTCCTTCTGATGATGATGATGATTCTATATATTTTTATCATATTTTTCTATGGAACCCAGCGACTAGAGATGTCAGGCAAGTTCCCGACCCATCAACACGCATCCATTCAAGGAATCCAAATTATGGATTTGGGTTCAATCCTGTCCTTAATGATTACAAAATAGTGAGAATTTATACATATGACTTTGCTTATGCTGCGAATCGACGTAAAATCTTTGTGGACAAAAATTGTGCTCATGATGTGGAAGCGTATTCATTAAGAAGAGGGTCATGGGAGAAAGTAGAATCTGTGGTTTTAAATAGAGTAAGGTATCTTAAATCCTTTCAAGCTGTCGTTTCTAATGGAACTATGTTTTGGTTAGGGAAGATGGATGAAGAACATGATCTTTATGTGGTAGTTTCATTTGAGATAGCAACAGAAATATTTTCACTGATGCCACTACCTTCTTCATCAGTAACCCCTAATTTAGGTTCAAATATAAGGCTTAGCGTGCATGAGAACAAACTTGCTATGTTTTGGGGGCCTTATTATAAGGTTGGAAAGGCTGATTGTTCTTTCTTTGATTTATGGGTGATGGAGGAGGAAGGGAAGAGTTGGAGTTGGACTAAGAAATTTAGTATTGGTCCAACATCAAAGTGGTTATATCCCTTATGTATTTGGAGCAATGAAATTGTCTGCACCAATAATGGGCCAATTCCAGGAGGGTTCAGTAGTGAAAGTGATGAGGATGAAGAAGAGAATGGGACAAACCTCTTTTTATCTTTGTTCAATCTCACTACTAATGAATGGACGTCGCACAACTTTATAAATGAAATTAGTTATTATGAGAACATTTTCAATTATGCAGAAAGTCTTGTCAGTCTGTAACATATCCACAACGAGTAGCATTGCTGAAGTGCTTTCAGCATTTTGGTTGATCCGATCCACTGTTATTAGAATAAAGGAAACTCAACCTATAATGTTTGACTTTGACTCTTTTTTTTTTTAATTTTAATGACGCCTGCCAATTTTTTCCACGTTACTTTTAAGTTTGGGCTTGAAAAAGTATATTTTGGCATTCGGCTTCGGCTTCGGCGGCCTACGTAAATAACCCAAACCATTCCCGCATTCTCTGCCTCTCATCTGGCTCGCTTGACCTCCGTTCGTCTCCGACCAAGTAACGGCGCTCTCTCTCTCTCTCTCTCGCCGTTCGTTCTCTCCCGTGGAGGTACTCTTTGGCTCTGAGCCTTTGATTTAGATGATGTGTAGTCTTTAGCTTCTGCTTCAATTGGTTCAACAATTTGAATGCCTGGGATCTGTTGATTTTGCTGGCTGTGATGATTTCATTGCTTTAGCTTTATTATTAATTTGGCTGCCACTGATTTTTGCTGGTTGAGTAGTGAATGTAGAATAAAATGTGTTTTCTTTCAACCCAACTATGCTCTATTAATCAAGTTCTGGAGTTTCGATTTTTAGAAATAAGTTTTTCTGTGCTAAGATAAGTAAAGTCTCTGATAGAGTTACGGCGTGACTGAATATGGAGAAAGTGGGGGTTGGTGGGGAAGGAGTTTGATCAGATTTACCCATAAATTAAAAGTAGAGTTCTGGATGTTTGTTTTATCGTTTATTTAATTGTTTATTTTTGCATTATGAATAGAGCAGAAGCTATATATGGAGTACTTTGATGTTTATTCAGTTTAGGAGATTCTCCTTAGCTACTTTTTCTCCTCACAATTCCAAGATATATTTGTTGGATTGGTTACTTGTTGAAAAAAAATCATGTTTTTCTTCCCTTGTTTATTAATCAATGCCTTTTCTTGTGAAGCTGGCTTTCAATCAGGTTTTTGACCATGATAGGAAATGTTTACCCTTTGACCCAAAGTTCATCTAGGGTTTATCGGCCCTCCCAGCATTTTAGCCGTCTGTCCTCTTGCAGTTCTAGCATCCAATGTTCCTGCAGGGGGCTTAACTTACTGGGGCTTAACTCCTGCCCGCCAAGAGGTATATGGCTTGTTTAATTTGTTTGTCAACATGACCTCTTTTTTTTTTATTTATTTAATATGATATGAATTATTGAGCTGATAAATCCATCATACAAAACATTCTTATTAGCTTGCTATTTGGTGAGAATGTGTTACTGTAATCATTTTACACAATTGAGATGTTCTAAGTTATGACTGATATTTCTTATTTCATTTTAAATTCCCTTCATAGGAATGATGCTGTCCTCAAACATTATTTCTGCTGCATCAAGCCTAAATTTAACTGGTGGAGATCAAAGTCTTGGTCTTCTTTATCCCAGAATCCCCCTGCCATCTTCGAGGCAAAGAAGGTTTTGTATGGTTCCTCGAGCATCATCAAAGGATGATGTCCAATATAGCTTCCGATATCCAGTGATGACCAAAAAGCCAAGATGGTTATGGAGGACACTTGCATGCCTCCCATACCTTATGCCTCTACATGAGACATGGATGTATGCTGAGACAGCATATCATCTTCACCCATTTCTTGAGAACTTAGAATTCATGACATACCCTTTCCTTGTGTCAATTGGGAGTCTGCCAAGCTGGTTCCTCATGGCTTACTTCTTTGTGGCATATCTTGGGATTGTGAGGAGAAAAGAGTGGCCCCACTTCTTCAGGTTCCATGTGGTGATGGGCATGTTATTGGAGATTTCTCTGCAGGTGATTGGCACTGTGAGCCGTTGGATGCCTCTAGCAATCTACTGGGGAAAACTAGGAATGCATTTCTGGACTGCGGTAGCTTTTGCCTATCTGTTCACAGTGTTGGAGTGTATGAGGTGTGCTCTTGCTGGGATGTATGCGGATGTTCCTTTCGTGTGTGATGCTGCATATATCCAAATTCCTTATGACTAAGGAAGAAGATGTACACAGCATATTTGAATTAGTTTTTTTAAAAGTGATTTTGTGAAAATCGAGATAAATATATTAGAGGAGTTTTGTTTTAGGTTGCATGAAATTTTTTTTAAGTGCTTTTTGAGCATTTCTTAGCCCCCGTAGAAAAGGTTAGCTTGGATTTTACTTTTCGTATTGCAGATTTTGTTGAGCAGAAGTAATAAACTGTGGGATTTCATCAATCTAGATTTTTTTTTTCACTTGTTAAATACTACTAGTCTTGACATAATTATTCTGTTGAAAATAATTTTAATGGTTTGAATTTTAATATTTATACTTTTTGTTATTTAATTGAAAGGACTATTTTTTTTAAAAAAAGTGCGTGCTAGTTGGAAAATTCTATTTATTTTGTAAGTATATATAAGGATATATACAAGTATTGTGCCACCTTAAAAATTTGACTATATAAATTATACTCGAATTATGTTGGTCCAAGAAGAAAAAAAGGTCTAATTTATCTACATAGGATTCAAATCTTTCTTATTTATTATTTTATTATAATTAACTAATTTATTTAACTTTTATAATCCACCTCAACTAGTTAAGAATTTTTTTTAAAAAAAATACAAGTACCTATTGGAAATAATTCTCTTAAAGGTATTTTTGGACACTAAAGATGTGAACATCTCTCCTAACGGAGTTTTTTTTTTAACTAAAATATAAGTATCCTCCTATTTGAGGTATTTGGGCACTAAATATAAGCACCTCTCATAACAGAAATTTAAATATTAGTTTGTCATGTTATAAAGGACTAGCGTCTTCTGTTAGATCCAATCTGTTGGTAGAAAAGTTAAATAGCCACAAAGCAATAAGACTTTGATTTTTTGTTCGGCTGAAATACTCTTCCATCAAAATTGCCGATCGGAAACAGTTCAAGTAAGAAGCCCAAGACGCAAAGCAAGCCCAATCTCCACCCGTAGGCCACAACGCAGACCAGAAAAACAAAACGACATAATATCACAAAGTCAGCTCAAAAAGACATAATGTCACAAAGAGACGTAAACGCAAACCTGACCCTTCCAAACGGAAAAACACATCAGTTCAGAAACCTAGTCGGAGAACAGGCTTCAAAATACCGTCGATATCCCTCCTCAACATCAATGCCCAGTGTAGCTCATGTCCTAATATTGACTGCGATTGCTCTCTTCTGAGATTCCTTCTCCAATGGAGAGCTCTGTGAAGGGGAAGCAGCTCGTAATGGAGGACGACCAGCCCTTTCTCCCTCTCGACATCATTGCCACATTCTCAAAAGACTTCCTGTGAAAACCATCATTCGATTCCAATGCGTATGCAAAGATTGGAAAAATCTCTTCAAGACTCCCTCCTTTCGTCACTCCCGTTTCCTAAACCCTTCATTCCTCCTCAAATGGCGACACCACATCTCCCATGATTTGCGCTTCAGTTTACTGGATTGCGAAATGGAAGCCCTTGAGGTTCAAAAACCGCCTTTGATCGATTCCTTATGGGACGCTAGGATCATCGGTTCCGTCAATGGCGTGCTCTGTGTTGAAATAGTTGAGCATGGTGTATCTCCTCCTTCCCTTTTACTGTAGAATCCAGCCATTAGAGAGGTCAGAAAAGTACCTATAACAATTGATTTTCAAGGTGATTGCTTTTCAAGATTCGGGTTCAGCCCAATTCTTAATGATTACAAGATCGTGAGAATCTTTTCCCTTCATTATGAGGTCAACCGAATGGAAGTGTATTCATTATGTACTTGGTCATGGAAGGAACTAGAATTTGAGAACTTGGATAGAGTAACATTTTGTCATGAAACAGCTGAAAGTGTTACTGCTAATGAAGCTATCTTTTGGCATAGCCACAATGAAGATACTATTACAGTGGAGACCTTTTATTTCTATTCTATTCTAAATGACTTCTTACTCTTGTTTTAGGAAGGACATAAAAAGAAAGGATATAAAAAGTAGCTTCTGTTTATTTCTGTTTTGAACAGAAGAGAAAAATGATATTTACGTCTATCTTGCTTTAAAACAAAAGTAAAAAATGATGGTAATTTTTTACTTCTATTTTTCAAAACATAGGTAAATGCTGGTGATTTTTTACTTCTATTTTATCATAATAGAAGTAAATAATTTTCCCATTCTCTACTATTTGCTTCAAATAGATGTGAATGTGCTCGTTTTAGAAAGTTTCACTTCCTGTATACCACTTGCATTACAATAACTACCATGTGATACATTTTCATTAGCCACTTTCCAACAAGTTCAAATATTCTAACATTTAAACAAGTCAATATTTTCAGCCAACATACATTAACTAACTAGTCAAAAGAACAAACTGTAAAAGTCAAAATTGATAACCTAATAAGATGAAGTTATCTCTAAACATAAACTTTATCAATCCCTAGACCACCATTTTTGAAGTAGTTGCTGGGCCAAAAGGTCTCGGATAAAATTAATATCATCAACGGTGTATGAGCAATTATTATCAAAAATCTGTAAATTAACAAATGAACAAATATAAATATATGAAGAATAAGTAACAATTCAATTTAAAAATTCAACAACTATTACAAAACTAAAATTATATTTACTTATCTGTTCAAATTTTTTAGTACATCCACTCTCGATTTGCTATTAAATTAACCTCTCAAGATCATCATAACTATATATTACCATTCTAATGCAATGTCAATATATGAAAATCCTCTCTTAGTTATTTTGACAAACACCTTGTGTACATCAATATTCAAACAAGTTGAACAAACTTTTTAACCTTCAAATCCACTATCCAATCAAGTTTAAAACTTTCTAGATGCAATTCAAGAATTAGCAGCAACATGAACAAAGAACCATCCATTTGCAGCACGTATAGAAACCAAAAGGAGGAATGTTGCACTTCAACTTACCTTATTTAATGGAGAAATGGCGTCGACATGGACAGGAGAAGAGAGGACATAGGTGGCTTTGACGGTGAGCTTCTTTCTTCAATGGGGACCCCGAGTTGGAGAGGAGGAGAACCACATTTTACTTCCTGCTGTGTAAGCTGCGGCGAGCTGAAGCTTGAAGAGCTGGATGAGCTGAGGACCTGATGCGACTGGATGAGCTAGCGGATCTGATGCGAGGACGAGCTGGATGTTCAAAGCTGGAGCTGGAATGGGAGGGAGGGAAAGACCGAGTGTGCGTAAGCTGGAATATTGGGAGGGAGCTGGAACTGGAATGCGAGGACAAGCTAGAGGGCAATTTTTTTCTAAAATTATTCAGGCTTCTTCTCATCTGTTGTTATTTAACAGACGAGAAGAAGCTAAGCTTCAACGTCTGTTGTATAATAACAGACGAGAAGCACCTGGACTTCTCATCTGCTTCTAGTAACAGACGAGAAGCTTCTTGTCTGTTACTGATGAAACAGATGAGAAGTGCCTGATTCTCTTATGTGGTCTGAAACAGAGGAGAACTTGGGCCTTATTCTTGTCTGTATACTAGCTTTTCTCCTCTGTTTTTCTAAACAGAAATGAATGAGAAAGGTAAAAAGTATATTTTCTTATAGTATAGATATTTTGCTTGGCTAGTTTCATCTGAAATAACAAAGGAAGTGTTTACATTGGCCCCAATACATGCATTACGCTTTAATGAAACTGAAAGATTTACGGTGTATGACAACAAATTTGCCGTGCTCAATATTGATGAAGAAACGTATGAGACTTATTTGATTCATTTGTGGGTAGTGGAGAATCGTTAATTTCTTCTGGATTTTCCTGCTTGCCTTGTTCTGTGATTTTCTAGGTTATTTTTTTAAAGAAAAAACTGATTTTGGCTATGGTTTCAGTGCTTCAATTTTGTTCGCTTGCTTCGGTTCCTGTCAACTTTGCAAAATGATGGGGTTGTAATATTTACTGGTTTGGCTCTGTTAAATATCAAATATTGTTATAATTTTGGTGCTCAAATTTTGCATATAAACTCTGATCCAAAAGCGCAGAGTTCTAAGGTTGACCCTATATGCCTACAGTGCAGGCTAAAAGGTTGTAGCTTGGTGCCGATGGTTTTCTCCAAAACACTTTGATACCTTTCTCAATGGGGAGAACTGTGAAGCCTCTGAGGACCTTTCTTCCTGATGGGATAATCGTTAACATTTTCAGAAGACTTCCAGTAAAATCTCTTATCCGATTGCAATGTGTATGCAAGCATTGGAAAAATCTTATCAGGTCACCGTTTTTTACTCCAGTCTTCAAAACCCTTCACTTCTGCAGATGGCCTCGACCTATGTCCTCTGGTTTTCACTGGGTTTTGCTGGATCGTGACATGCGATGACGTGTAGTTCAGAATTCACAGATCTCTTTGATCGATACCTTGCCCCAGTTGAGCATACATGGGTCCAGCAATGGCTTGCTCTGTCTTAAAAGCGCATCTCAAAATTCCATTTTATTGTGGAATCCGGCAACCAGAGAATCCAAACAGGTCCCCGCAGCTACCAATCGTTTTGGAGGCCATTGCTGTATAGGATTTGGGTTTAGTCCAATTGTTAATGATTATAAGATCGGGGTGATTTATGATCATAACCTTGAGAGGGTTTGGAGAGTGTATCAAGTTAAAGTGTATTCATTATGCACAAGGTCTTGGAAGGAAATAGAAGTTGGAAACATGGAGGGTTTATATGTTAACGCTCATAGTGTTAGTGATAATGGACATGCCTTTTGGTTTGGGTTCAAGAATGAAGATGATGATTATTGCTCCATAGTTTCATTTGACATAGCAACTGAAGTATTTACATTGATCCCAATGCCTGCATCAGATGATAGTTTATTAATAAGAACGCTTGATGTGTATGAGAACAACCTTGCATTGTTTTGTATCAAATGGATTGTTCCGAGTGAATATTGCATTGAATTGTGGGTGATGAAGGAAGTTTCAAGTACATCACGGGAGAGATGGATTTGGGCTCACAAATACACTAGCAGCGTTTGTTCAGGCTTGTCAATGTTATATCCTATTACTCTCCGGGCCTTAATATAGGACTCAATCTTGAGTTGGTTTGGTCCTAAATACAAGACTCATTTATCGTATTTATCAATTTTCTCTAAAGTACCCCTAGGATACTCCCTCAACCATAATCAAGTAGAAGAGAAAGAGGGGATAGAAGAAAGATGATTATAGTA